ATTTAACGCCATGACATAGCTTTGATCAACTTGGATGGTGCGAGAGACTCATACTCTCTTCCGTTTCTTAAACTCGCTTTCATACTCTTTCTATCTCCCTTTCTCTTTTTCTGCATTTAAGTATCTCTCTCCCTTTCTACCTGGTATATATAACCTTTTCTTTCTATACTCAAAACTTTTTGAAGTAAAACTTTGGAGCTTTCCGCTTACTCGAAAGCTTCTTCGAAAACTGATTACTCATATTTTCAACGAAAAAAAAAATTTTTTTGCCATACGAAATTTATTTGCCCACAAGTACGTATGTATATACCTATGTATTTTTGAAAAAGGAGTTGTTTTAATTTTATTAATTTTTATTTGTAAGCAATTTATGATTATTTGTATATCGAATGCCAATCGCTGACTTTTAATAACTGCAATCAAATTTACGCTAAAACATCCTACCTGTAATGAATGGGTCAAGCGGACCGTGATGCTTTGTTGTTTTTATTAAGTAAGCAACTGGCAGTGGGTTGTTTGTATGTATGTGTGCACTTTTTCTTCTCCCTCTTTGCTTATAGTTGGTAAAAGGTCCTCATGAAGGTTTGCTGACAGCCAAAGGCGTTGTTGGTTTTTAACATTTTTTTTGGTTCCTTTTTCGTTTTACCTTAATTTTTTATTGTTTTATTGGTGCGTATATATTTGTATGATTTTTTGGTTTTTTCGTCTTTTTTTTTGCTGCGACCAAGCAACATTTCGACAATAATTTATTTGAGACTCATTGATGCGCTCGCAAAGATACACAGAAAACCACTAAACAGGGACGCATTTTTCTTCACTTACATATGTATGTGGTCCTAAAAATGTTTTTGTATATTTCTTTTTTTTTATATACATTTTGTTGGCTCGAAATATGGTATTACGTATATAATAAAAAAAAAACAGCAGAAAAAATGTTTGGTAAAAAGAAATGTTTCAAGTTGATTTGTTGGCTGAATGCGCCGTTTTTGGTCCAAAGAACACTTTAAACTCGCCCAAAGGAGCATATGAGGTGAGTGTTTGTAGTGCCGGAGGAACGCATGTAGGTCTATATGTATGTAGGTATGTATATCTTTATAGCATGTGTGTGTCAGAGAAATATAAATTTATAACCACATTTTTGTGTATGCACGTCCATTTGATTTCTTCAACGTCATTTGTTTTTATATTTAATTCTTTTGGGCTTTTTCAGCTGGAAAATAAAGCAAACTCGCTCACTAACCGCCATGTACATATGTACACGTATGTATGCCGTATTGAAAAAGTGCATACGTTTTTTTTATTAATTTTTTGTTACTAATTTTTTTTATTTTCACTAAACCTCATTCAACTAGCACTTGCGCCTGCGCGCCCCACACACTCACGCTCGCACGCTCACTCACCGCTGTAATTTATTTGATTTGAGGCATTTAATTGATCTGGTGGTGGTGTTACTGTTGTTGATTTAAATGTTAAATGTTGCGACAAAAGAAGTCACAATCGTATTTTGTTATTCTGTTCTTAAAGCAAAGCTTTTTGCTTTTAACATTAACTGCCTCTTTCTCTTCTGTTTCTCTTCAGTTTCTCTTTGGCACTATGCCACATAATTAAGTATAAGCTAATAGTTTATTATAGCATTGTAACGGTGTTTAAGTTTAAGTATTTGATAGGTGCGGTGATAAAAAATGTGCAAGAAATAAGTATTAAATTTGTTTATCGGCCAATTCTTCTTGTGGGATTACCAGCAGATTGTTGCACTGGAGTGCCAAGCAAATACAAATGCATGTATGTATGTACATATGTACAGTTAAAACAACTCATACTCAAATGTACACGCATTAAAGACAAAACACTTTTATTTGTTTATTTTGCTCTGTAAAAGTTTAAGTACCAAAAAAAAAAAACAAATAAATCTGTAAATAAATCTTTTCGTCTTTCACTTTATGCCTCAGACGAACGGAAACTCGTAGATCTTGCTTTGGCTTTCTATTCTGCGTTGCTTTGTTATTTTACTTTTTGATTGATTTTATTCTTTTTCTATTTTTTTCGGAATGATTTAAAAATCAACTCATCTCACAAAGTAATAAAATTCAAATTCATTTCTCCAGCGGAAGAGATATTTCCGCATGGAGTGGTTGGCATGGATAAATGTAGAGATCTCAGTATATCGGTCAAAAAATATCACTCAATCAGTTCAAAAGATACCGAATCGTGGAAAGAGAAACTATGAACAATGAGAGAACTCGCTTTGGTAGACACAATCTTCTGTTTCTGCTTTGGTAGTAACAATAACACCTCAATTGTTTCTCTTTTTAGCCGTTCGGAGCCCATTTGAGGACACTAAGTAAGTCCAGGTCTTTCCACACCTAGTCCTTCCACCAAAATGCTGCAGCAATCAGCGGGTACTGCATCGAGCCATTTAAGAACTTGGGTGTTTTCAACAATACAAACGTTGAGCTTTCCCAATCTTTCACTAAACCTTTCTCTCGAAGACATTTAAAGCTGACTCGTCAGATGTTGACGCTTCTGAAGAATATAGCAGGACGGTAATGATGAAAGACTTGTAGAGCTTTATGTCGTCTACATTTTACAATATAAGTTTGGAAAGTCTGCTCAGATGATGTTTTTTTAGTCATTTTTAAATATTTGAGACGATCTGCCTAAAAATATAAAAGAGTAAACCAAAGCGATCTCACCGTCCCCTGAATAAGACAGAGCTTATTATATTCATGAGTAGATACAAAACTCTTAATGTGCCGCTGGTCTCAATGTGAGAAGCTCGGCTGCTGGTAGCTGGTAATGTCGGATATCTAGATGATAATTTTAAGTGACAAAGACCGATATCTTAAGTTTTCCGCCCGAGAAAACTGTCTTGGAAGTCGATTATTTAAGGACAGCCAGCAAAGCCGGTAGTCTTAAGTATGGGTACCATCGTTATGAGTCCATGTTTAACATCTAAAGTAGTACGCCGGGTTATATAGGTTGTCAAATATCTCCTTTTTTGTCTTTTTTCGCGGCTATGTACAAAGCGCTACAGAGCTCGTATACTATACATAATTTGAAAGGTCTTGACATAACCTACAAAACAACGCTATGCATGATTAGTTTAGATATTGCGTTCAACAGTTATAGACGTGTAAACATGGAGTTCAATAACGCCGAAATTCGCGCTATTTTAAAGTTTTCCTTCGTTAAAGGCAAATCCGCTAGAGAAACGTTCCGTGAGATTATTGATGTTTCGGGGGATGGTACTCTATCACTTTGAACCGCGGAGGAATGGTTTCGACGATTCAGAGCCGGTGAAAACGACACCATCGATAAGCCAGCCGGCGGAAGACTTGTGATGAGAAATACCAATCAAATCATGGAATACATCGAGTTAGACCGGCATATGGCATCTCGTGACATCGCCCAGGAGATGGGAGTTAGTCACCAAACCATTTTGAACCATCTGCAGAAGGGTGGATACAAAAAAAAATTTGATGTTTGGGCGCCGCATAATTTGATGCAAAAAAACCTGCTGGACCGAATCAACGCCTGCGATATGTTGCTGAAACGGAACGAACTCGACCCATTCTTGAAGCGGATGGTGACTGGCGACGAAAAATGGATCACATACGACAATATCAAGCGAAAACGGTCGTGGTCGAAGGCCGGTGAATCGTCCCAAAAAGTGGCCAAGTCGGGATTTTTGGCCAGGAAGGTTTTGCTGTGTGTTTGGTGGGATTGGAAGGGAATCATCCACTACCATCTACTGCGAACAACTGGACCGTTTGAAGCAGGCGATCGACCAGAAGCGTCCAGAATTGGCCAACAGGAAGGGTGTAGTGTTCCACCAGGACAACGCCAGACCACACACTTCGTTGATGACTCGTCAAAAGCTATGGGAGCTCGGATGGGAGGTTTTATCGCATCCACCATATAGCCCGGACGTAGCGCCAAGTGATTACCACCTGTTCCTGTCCATGGCGAATGCCCTTGGTGTTGTGAAGTTGAACTGAAAAGAGGCTTGTGAGAAGTGGCTGTCCGAATTCTTCGCAAATAAGGAGGGGGCTTCTACGAGGAAGGTATTATGAAGTTGCCGTCTAGATGGAAACAGATCATCGAACAAAACGGCGAATATTTTAACTAAATCCGATCACTGTAACACTTTTTATAAAGCATTGAATGAAGAGCAAAAAAGCGGAAGGGAGATATTTGACAACCTTTACTTGAAAAAACTAGATGTAGGCTCTAACGTCTCACACATATTAAGCTCAGCCGATTGTCCGCCCAAAATTATTCGATTCGCTACTGGCAAACTGGGTTATTGCCGGATTTTTGGTCTGGGCATTCGGTGATTCTGCAAGGGCCGAGGACGGTAATTTTCTCTATAGCATTCGGGCTGGTCGTGGAAGTGAGGCCTAGTAAGCATCTTCGTGGTTGGCTTGATGCTAGATGGAAAGTTTGATGAGAATTTGTTTGTTGATTCCTTTTTTTGGCTTTCTCTCCGGCTACACCGTAGGACAGCAAACAAACCAGCGGTCGATCTACGGTGTTTCAGTTAAGGATGTCAATGTGACTCTGAGACCCAGCCGATTATTCCCGCTTTGGATGCATTTATGTTGCGCTCAAGACTAGTTAAGGCATGTTTACCCTCTCTTTCTATATATATTTGAGCTAATTTTGGATTTAGTTGGGTGTTTTGTCCTGGTTATATGAATCTCATGTCTGATAGGCATAAAGGGAGCAGAGCTGGAGATCAAACGACTTTCTTGCTTGTTTCCTTACAAAATTCGAAACATTTTTTGGACTCTGAAATGTTTTCGAAGCCATCTAGTAACCCAGTATAGTTTCTTTATGAGTAATCAGACTGCAAGGGAATTTGTTGGTTCTGTGTTAGTTCTCCACTTTATGCCTTTCCTCTACATGGTATTTCAAGAAGAATTAAGAAATTGTAATTTCGTGAGAAAAAGTAAGTGAAACCTTTCAAAAAAAGAATCAAAGTTCATTGACAAAGAAACCATGGTAAAAAAATTAAAAAAAACGAAAGAAACAATAAGCGTCTCTGGCAGTAGCTGACTAAAATGTCAATCAAAATTACCTGCGCATCCACACACCGACACATATCGACAAATTATTAATCAAATTTCATGTTGCGACACAATGAATTAAACAATCTTGCCCGATAGTTGGATAACCGATTTTTGCTACTTCAATACACTTAATCCTGTCGGGGAAAGATAAAAAACAAATAAAAGAACCACAACAAATGACAATTTGCGCACACGAAATTAAATTGAAGACGAACACTTAAGGAAAAGGGGAGTACAAAGGGAAAGGACTACTGAGCGGCGGCAAAGAAAAGTAGCTATGGAAATCGGGTATGTGCAGGGAAACGCGTCAACGCATTCAAACGACGCACCAAGCCGCGTCTGTAACACACCAAAGTCACCGCCAACAAATGTCAAAATGCGTTTTTGTGGCTGTCAACTGTCAACGCCGTTGAGGTACAAAAATGTCTAATCAAGCATTAGAGAATGTTTTCACAAAAAAACTGGACCTGAACTAGAAACTAAGGCGATACTTAGGCGATACGAGGCATAGAACGGAATTGAAGACTCAATGAGGCAAAAAAAAACTGTCAATAAGAAGCGGCGCGTCAATGTCAGCGCTTTGCAGGAATTTTCAACGCGAACGCGATACAAAAGGTGACGTTTTGGAATCAAACAGCGAAAGCAAAACTAAATTAAAAAGAGACACTGTGAGTGAGCGACAAAGCAAGGACGGGGGAGAAATGGAAGGGTAAAGTGAGTTGAAGTGAAGTGAGGCAAAGGAAAGATATGCGAGAATGAACAACGTGTCTACACCAAGCCGTTTTCGCAGGCTTTGTATTCAAATAAGAACAAGAAAGTAATAACAACAATAAAAGCAATCTCAAAGCAAGCGGGTGTACAGCAGTCTGCATTGCGGTCTGATCTTTACGTAAGCGTGAATGTGTTGTGTGTGCTTGTGTATGCAACATAATTGGATTTGTTATTTCTTACAGAAGATCGCTCTCAATGAAAAACAAAAAAATTTGACAAAAAAAAAATAATAAAAGGAAAGAAAGCAAACCGCGCAGCAATTGAGCAAAGGCAGAAGAATGACAGTCAAGAAATTGAAAGATTGAAAAATATTAGGATATTAAAGCACCAAAAGAGTGGCGTGTTAAGCCAGCCGGTGTGGCAGAGACCGTGAGTCGCTCGCAGTTATGCGGCTGCAACTGTTGGTTAGGCAACTGCGTTACCCAAATCAAAATCTTGATCCTGCGTTGATTGTCGAAACCTTTCATGTGTTTGCTAAGCCAAAGTGAAAAAAAAAACTGAGAACCGAGATAATCATCTGCCGAACTGTCGAATGCTACTTAAAACCTCAATCTTTGGTTGGCTTTGGGAATTTTTCTCTCTTTTGCGCCATAGCAGCAGTTGTTCCTTTGTTATTTTGTGGGTTTCAAATAAATTGATTAGACAGATGTACATATGTATGTACATACGTATGTCTGGTACTCGTTCGTGTAAATTAGAAATTACGCGTGTAGGTGCCGGCATATTACAGGTATCTATTGCGTGTTGAGCTCAAGTGGTAAGGACTTAAGTTGAAGGACGATGACTGGCGCGATTACAGCACACAATCTCTCAAATATTTTGGAGTTCATATTTTTAAGCGGGGATTTCTCATTATTTGTATGCCTTGAAGGCCACACTAGAAGGCTTTGGTGTGTAAACCTCACTGCTCTTCAAAAAAGCTGCTTTTTGTATAAGAACTGCGGCCTTAGTTACGTCGGTCGATTTTCAATCTCTCGACATGTCAACAAAAATATAAATACCTCCCAGGGCGGTGTTCTCTCAACCATTCACAAAATTTTAGCACAGCAGAGCAGAGTAAAAAAAGGCTAATTTGATCACTGCCTTTTCCGATGACACAGTAGTAGAAGAAGAAGAGGAAGTTTCAACGAACATGATCCAATGCAGTCAGAACTTTGTAAGGCGTCATTGTGATCCAATTGCTGTAATGGAAGTAATGGAACGGTGGTAAATTGGGTTCACCTAAGTCTGTACTGTGTTGTCGCAGAACTGGTCAAAAGACGGCTGAATCGATTATGCAGTGACACAGTCATGGAGGTGAACTGCAAGGTAGATCAACTTGTAGGTTCAAGTGCCACCAGGCAGAGGCATTTGTAAACATCTCGCCCCTGCACAAGGCTGATTTAGACATTTATTTACAGACAGACTGAGTGAAAATGGGAAAAATAGTTGTCGTGTCGCAAATCGGCACAATTATGGCGGAAATTCAAGTGGTGAGCATATGGCTTATACTCTCTAAACCAGCTGAACATTTCATAGATATTTCCATTCCAGCCGGGATGTTATCTTATATTATGGCATTTAGAAAGACTCGACTGGAAGACGCTCTAGGGATTGGAACGAGGAGGAGGACACAATTTTCCACCCATCATGCAGATGATGTGTTTTAAGAAAAATATATTACCGAATATTGGAGTCTCGGTAGAAAGAAATTTCCTTTAACACATTATTCCTTAAAACCCCGACTGCACTTTTAATTCGTTTTTCTTTTACTTCCCACAAAAACGAAATTTATTGGCAATGTCTCTTAGCTCGTTGCTGTTTACTATGTATATGCAAAAATAATGGCTCGATTCGCGTGATCAATATTTGGTCCATGTAATCGCCCAGCAGAGTCGGTAATTCGAGCAACGATGGATGTTAAGAGACGCCCGTACCGTTCGCACCGAAGCCACTACTGCTGCTGTAGAGCAGAGTATAGAAGAAGACCCGAATGACTCCGGCCGCCAACGCGCGAAACAATCGGAGCTGTATCGGTACTCTTTACGGAAAATTTTCCGGAAGCATCTTGGTTTGCGGGCTTACAAAATCCAACTCGTGCAAAAATTGAACCCGAACGATCTTCGAGCGCTTCGCACGTGCGGTGAATGGGATCAAAACGAGATGGCCACCGAACGCAAATACTTACACCAAAATTATATACAGATATGAAGCTCACTTTTGATTGAATGGGTACATTAATAAACAAAATTATCACATTTGACGTGATGATAATGCCCAAACCATTGTTGAGACGCCATTACAACATTAAAAAGTCACCGTTTCGTGTGCCCTACGGGCAGAGGGAATCATTGATTCAAATTTCTTAAGAAATTTCGCTGGTCATAATATTACAGTCAATGGTGGGCGGTTCAAAGCGGTGATTAAAACTTCTTTCTTGCCTGATTTTGAGGATGTTAGCAGGGACGTCCTTTGGTTTCAAAAAAAAATGGTGCTTTATGCCATGCAGCCAATGAGAAAACCACTTCGTTACAGCAAACTTTTGGTGAACGCATTATCTCGCATCTGGAACCGTGGCGTGGCCTCGAAGATCGTGTAGCTTAATGGCGCTGAACTAGTTTTTGTGAGGTTATGTGTAGTAGTCGCTTGTCCACGCAGATAAGCCCGAGATGATTGACGCCTTGAAAGAGAATATTTGTCGCGTTATACGACATACAGCATCAGTTGCTGCAAAAAATGGTTTAAAATTGGGCTTCTCGGCTTGAAGTTATTCGAGCTAGCCGTGGGGTCACTTGCTCGAAAGCATTTTTAAAACATGATAACTTATATTTTTATATTAAGGCACGAAAACCAAATGCCAAATTGTAAAAATATATAAGATATTGAATAATCCATAAATAAATATTGCAGCTTATCTAATATCCAAGTCTCATCCTCCTTTTGTTGCCTTAATAAGCATTTTATTACTTACTAATTACTGTATTCTTCCCCATTAATACTTGTTTTTATTTTCTTGTATTTTCTTTTTTAATTTTTTCTTTCTAATTAAAAATGAATTTAATTAAAAAGTCCAGCATTCAGTTTCATTGTCAATGTCGTCTGTATGTCCAAATGTCAAGCAAGTGTACGCATATTTGCTCGCATTCACCTTTCTCTGAGCCGCGCTTGCCATACCCTGTCCGTTGATGCAATCCACTTGTGCCCCAAACCATCTAACTGAATACATTTCTTTACACACTTATATGTGTATATATGGAGGAATGTCCATGATTAGACACATATCTATTGCATGTTTCGACCTCTGACCGCTCTTGTTTGTTGTTGAGTTGTCCGCTTTGTCACATCTGCTGATAACTGTCAACCTTTTCACCTCCAAACGATATTAATTTCTTGCATTTCATTACCATTTTGTCTGTCGTCGGCAAGAAAAGCGAAGCGAAACCGAAGAGAACGAAGAAGGTTGAAAAATTCAAATTAAATAAATTGGAAATGAAATGTTCGAAAACAGAGTACCAAAAATTCAAATTATGCCGTCTGAAATGCGACAATTCCGTACCCACTGAGAGCTCGCGACATTTGCTAGCATTTTTAATTAATCGCTTTGATGATATTTGGCGGCAAATGAGCTACTGTTTTGGCCGTTTGATTCATTGCTAGATGATTGCTTTTTATTGCTTTGCGTTCTTTTTGTTTTTCTTTTTTATTATTTATATTTTTTTTTAATTTCCCCCCCCGCAATGAAAAAAGTTATGAAAAATTTTATAAGACCATTTTTGGTGATTTCATTTTAGCGCTCAATAACGGTAAACACCTGCGTTTTGCTCGTGAATTTTATAATCTATTAAATTTAAAAAAAAAAATTTATGGCATATTTAAAAACACATAAAAATAGTTAATTCTACTAATTAAGTTGGTTTGGTAAACTTTATTGCTTTGATTGTTTGTTTTTGAGTTTAGTAGATCAATAAATATTCTTTGGCGAGGTCGTCAAATGGCAGGGGGGTATCTCATTCAAGCCGTTGTCATTTTTTTCATTTATATAGCGAGCCGCTTCCTTCAAACCCGACGTTCGCTCGCAGCCGTACCTCTGGTGAACAGAGGCTGCAATTAAACTTCAGCGGACCCTTAAATCGAATAAGTCGGAGTAGTACCACTAAAGCTTTCTCTCTCATTAGCCTTGACCCAAGGCTCCACATGGGTTGGTTACCGCATCTCGCACGAGGGTTGCTCACGTTTCCAGGGTGCGCGACATGGACGCAAGATTAGGAATTGAGTATAGCCTCGCAACTCTAATAGCATAACCAGAAGCTTTACTACACCCCATTCTCCGCCTAAATGGAGTTCAGGCCTTCTTCGCATCAGCTTCCGTCGGCGAGTACTGCATCGAAGACTTTCAAAGCTAGATTGGTTGACGACAAGAGATATTTCGTCTTGACCTCGTTGACTACCAGACCCATACTCTTCGTTACCTTATCCAGTCTAAAGAAAGCAGAACTCACGGCGTTCGGCAGCAGCTGTACATTCTTTTAGAAGATCTTACCTTGTCTCTTCAGCCCTGCAGCTCTTATTCTTTTCTCCAGCAATAAATTGAAGAAGTCACACGACAATGAATCATCTTTTCTGTAACCTCATTTAGTATCCAACAGCTCGGATAGGTATTTTTCGATCCTTACGAAACTTTTGTTGTTGCTTAACGCCAATTTAGGGTAGGAAGCAGTGGTGGGTGTTCATCTTCAATGCACGGATCTTTTCCTAGCCTTAGCGCATGGCCAATATGTGGTGAGAGTGGAATGTACCAGAGGTCGGCTTCTGTCTTTCTCACAACATGCTCGATAGAATCTTATGTGCGATATTGAGGAAGCTTATTCCACGCTTATTGCGGTGTTTTCATTTTTGTGAAATGGGCAGAGCAGACTACGGTTCTAATCGTACCACACTTTGCAAAGAAGCTAATGAATACACCTCTTCATTGCAGCTCAAATAGCAGACCCCATCTCGTTTGAATATGACCCCTGCAAACGTTTTTTATAATAACGATTTCATCAGCTTATAGGAGTATAAACGCCCAGTCCCTTAAAGTTGATATTACCGCCATCTGCGAAAAATGAAGAACGCCACCAGAACGGAAGAGTGTGAGTATTTGAAAAATTTACTTCAGTGGCCATATAAATGAGCGGAAATTTGGTATTGATTGAGTTATGGGGAAAGACTCCCCCGCGGGTCTTGACATTCGCCCTCATCTCAATCTGCTTGAAAGCGAAGTTCTTCAACTTATTGCTGATTTCCGAAAGCAAAGAAGAGAGATGTAACCGAGGATGAAGTTATCTTCGGCTGTCGGAAAGTTCAGACTTCAAGAGGAAACGTTCCAAACGGAGTGATTCTAAATATGATTGCATGTATCACTAGATTTATCGACTTTAGCCATTTAGGCATATCAAAAATTGTGCATACCGAACATTTTATGATAGAAAAGATATCAATTATGGGAGAACGCTGCAGGTTTTTCCATGTGTGGTAGTTCCGATTTTAAGATGTAACCTGTATTTTTGATAGACGAAAAGGTAGAGAGATTTTAGATTTATGGAATATGCCGCTGCATCCTTTCCGCAGTCCATTCGCTAATGGGAATCTATTAGTGCTCCTTAGATGTAAAGAGATTTCAAAAGATCTATTTTCAATTACTGGAAGTGATAACGTGAACTATTTTTCTTGCCTTTGGGCCACACCCAAAACTTGGCACTGCTCAAACTGTTCTGGTAAAAACTCATTAAGCCTAGCAAGCGTGACAAAGAGTATATAACTTCCAAGCCAATAAAACTCTCATGTCTCATGGAATACCAACCTCTAGATGTCATCAATTCTCTTATAAAATTCTTCATAAGCAGTTATAGCAATTCATATCTGATCCTCAGACGTATTTATGTAGTACCACATGGGCAACTGTATATTTGTATGCAGTTACGTGCAACTTAAATATAATTTCCTCTACACGTTATATCATCTAAAGCATCTTCTAATAGTACAGAAGGAAGCCCTTTTCTCAGAGCGCTAATGCGCGCGCAACGCAATGGGCAGCCAACGTCATCTAACCAAGTAGTACGTGTCTTCGAATACCGCCTCCGCGTGTGCGCTGTTCAATTTCAAATATTGTCGACAGTTTCGTTAGCTTTTTGTGCGGTTGCAATGCCGCCCTTTCAACAAAGCCAGACAATCAAAGAAAGGAAATTTAAAAAAAAATCTCAAACACGAAAAAACGCAACAAAACTCATTGCCAATTCCACACGCGTTACCAAAAGCGCGCGGGCGTTAACAACCAACAACCATAGTTTTATGGCTTAAACTTTATTTCATTTTCTTTTTTGCTGGTAAGGAAAACGTAGGACTGGAAAAACTAGCGCAAAATACGCGAGCTACGAACTGTGCGATACACAGATTAGACCATTTATGGCAATTACGCGCTTACACGAGAGTGCACAACAACAACAAAAACAATGGAAACTGACGTAATGTTGCATTAGAATCGAGTTGTATGTATACATGTGCGTACGTACGATACGTGCTCGAGTTAGTGCGCGCAGCAGCAACAGCAGCAGCAGCAGCAACATCAGCAACCGTTGACTCGGCTGGGCGGCTTATCGGCACAATTGTATCGGTGACGCGTCTATTGCAGCGGCTTGAAGTAAGTAGGTCCGTTAAACGGTTTCTTGTTGCCTGCCTGCCTGCCTGACTGCCTACCGATGCTGTGTGCAACCTAATGTTGCATGCAATGCACAACTTTTTCAAACTACACTTCAACGCGACTCTGCGGTCGCCATACGCGTTGGTTAGATGGCGGCGGCGGTGGACACGTTGATGGTGGCGACAAAGGTTGTTGCTGTTTTTGCCGCTAAGTGGCGGTTGAAAGCTGAGTAGAAGCAGCCACTGCGGATGCGACCACTAAGCACTGAGAAGCGTAAGAAGCCACAATGTTTGGGTTGGGCTGGGTTGAGGCACGTACATATATATAGAAGCATTGTATGTGGTATGCATGCTCTCTTGACTATTTAACGCACGCGCATTTTGTTCTGATTATTGCATTCTGCACTGCACTACGAACTGACACACAGATTTGTAGTTGCTGATCTTAATGTTGCCGCTGCGGCTGCTGTTGGTTCTAATAAAATTTTATTTCCCTTTTCCGTTGTCGGTTCAAGTCGTTCAAGTCATCGGAATAGTTGGTTAGCCAACAAGCGGGCAATCGGTCGGTCGGCGGTGCGGTGGCATGTGCAGACAAGCAAGCGTCTTCGTTCGTTCGTTCACACCCCAGCGTTGCCGATTTGTGTGCGCATGCGCGAGTGCGCGCTCCACTGGCGCGTTTGCTAAGAAAATTAGATTAGCATCTCATTACGTGTGTGCACACGCGCATATACAAAGGCATTCCATGAAGCTCTCATTCATACACAAGACATATGTTTACATGTGTACACACTCGTGTCTTACATTCATACGAGTTCCATATGTTTTTATGTCTATGGCGAGTTCGCATCTCTAACTTTGTAACTTGAGCACATTTTCTTTGAATGACCCAACCAACCAGCCACGCCACAACGCCTCACAGCCAGTCACCATGTTCAGCTGCCGATTGCTGTTACTTTTGCCTACTCCAGCCTCAGCATGCTTGGGTGAGATTTACGCGAAAAAAAAAAAAACATTGTAATAATCTCTAAACCATCCAGCTTGCGTGCGCTTAACTCACAAACGCAAGTGAGCGCTGAAGCTCATCGCTTTGCTGGCGATTTGAACAAATATGCCTTATATTAGTTTATTGTTTTTTCTCATTGCTTTCATTTCGTTTTT